GCCAGTCATCGAATTCCCGCCGCCACCGCCGCGAAGTCGTGATGGCCCAGTCTCGAACTCCTCTATTGCCATACAGTGCAGTACGCGTGGCGCTCGTGATTCAGTGAGCACGAAAACAGCTCGTCGGAATTTGCCACTTCCTGTGCCACCATGTTCCGCGAAACCAAAATTACAAAGAATAACAGGTTTGTTTTTTTTCATCTTCGTTGTTTTAGATGAAATACGCTGTGTAAGGAAACTGCAACAATGTCAGCGAAAAGCATCAGACACACATCAAAATACAATGCGAAATTTGAATTCTGGTGTTCGGCATAACTGAAACACGTAGTTTCAGATTTTGTAGGCTTCCTTATTCTAGTTTAGAATTTGAGGCATTGTTATATGAGATGTAGTGAATCGGCGAACAGTTTCTTCAGATCAAACCAAAAACCTCTCTAAAGCCTTAAAAAAAAGCAGGCGAGACACTAAGAAAGTCAGTATGATATGTAGAATACAGGTGATTGTAGAGCAGAAACATGGGCATTTTAGTTCAGTTGCATCTACATCAGCTTTAGTATCTGTTTTATAGTTAGAATGAAGCACAAATACTGTTTCACATTGCCCGGCACGTGTGCCTGAAGTAAATTAGCATTGCCAGTTTTCCCACTTATACTAACTCCGACAGCCTTTGTAAATTCATATATCGGTATCAATATATATATATATATTATTACGTATATATATATTGTATATTATACCTATACATATTGATACATTAGTCTGTCCGCTTCTTCACATCTTTCGATATTTCTGCTTCATCGTTTCTACGCGATTATCGTAACTTTATTTTTCCTTAAAATAAAACACCTGATTTTATATGAGTGAGCAGATTCAGTGTATGCGATTATTTTGCTAGTTCCTCTTAACAGTCTCCTTTTCCAGTGTGATTGTCTTTTAAAATTTGAAAATTTCAATGCAGTAATATTGTAATAACGTTTTGAAGTTGCAATATTGCAAAAGGCCAGCATTTTTTCAGATAATACGCAGTGCGATGTATTGGTTTCACCATTGGCAGAAAAGAATTTGCGCAAAGCAGTGAGCAAATTTGGTACGATGCCGAAGAATGCGCGAATTGATGCCTATTTGGAATCGATG